GTAGCCCCGTCGTCTATTCATTAGTGAATTATATGGAGATATCGAACAGTATTCAAGCTCAAAAGTCCATAGAACAATACAAAATAGGAGCACAGCAAATACAGACCTCCAAAACATTACGAGGGCTGTTCAATAAATAATGTCATTAGCTCGATGACATACAACATAGAAATTATATGACATTAACCTTGACTTACCCTCATTATTGAATCTTTAATGAATTGATAGCAGTTTATGTGACCACTTTTCATCACATAGTTTGATTGTGTGAAACTGGAAAACAAGGGCTATTCGAGACACTGCATTAGAAATGAATGGTAAAGAAACAGTAAACTAGAGTGAAATTAAACGCTTCAGTAAAGCTGCTGTAAAACTTGTTCAGAATCCCAAAGAAATATTAACTGAAATATGTGAAATTTACAGCAACCAATGTCTGTTTTATACACACATGAGCAGGTGGATTTCCATGACCAAAAAGAATATAATGGGCATAAAAAATGGGCACCTTACCTGGCGACAAGAAAATACAACAACCAATGTATATTTGCAAAATAATAACATTTTATCACTGATTATGTTTGATTGACTTTAAGACTCATAGCAAATTTGATGGACATCATTTTGGGGGTAGTTCACACTTTTTAAAGCAACATTTGATAGTAAAAAAGTTTAATACTCAAAGGTCACCCTATATTTTGAAAAATGAGTAAAACGGACAGCGTGTCGGAATATATCTAAACAATCATTTTTAAAAAATTAAAAATTGTATTTATCCACGTTTGTCTGAAATTCAAACAGATAATGAAACTTGAATTCATTTTGCTTTAAACCCTCAAAACAAATTTACAATAAGATGCACTTGATGAAACAGCAAAGGCCTGAGAAGAGCAAAGAATTACAAAATTTAAAGCACAAAAACAGTTTTATATGCTATTTCCTTAAATATATGTGGTCTTGTTGTTCAAACTTTTATTCGGGGAGAAAGTTGAATTTCTGGAGGAGTCTAGAAAGCAAACAATTTCTTAATGAATTAAATTCGTTATAACAAATTCGACAATTCGTTATATCGGATTCAAAAATATTTTTCGATAGGTCCTAAAAGGGCTTCCGTATCTCAGGGAAGAAGTTTATTAAGTTTATCTAGAAAAATCCATTTAGTAAGTGTGGAGATTTTTTAAAAATATTATTATGTTTATTCGTGTAAATCCAAAAAAAAAAAAAAAAAAAAAAAGTAAATACATGAAAACAGTTCCGGGACATTTAATAAAATGACTGTTCATGCTGTTGTGTTCTACATATTCACTCTTATTTTCCCTCATCAGTCGCAGTAGCATTACATAATCTCAGTTGGAGCATATAAGACAACCATCGAAATTGGATTTTTCATTTTCAGATGACAATCCCCCCGAACGATTTATGAAATGAGAACATGCTACTCGGTATGCGGTTATATTAAGACATAACTATGCAGGAAGGAGACGAAAAGGATCTATGCAGTGCATTGTTCTACATAATCAAACAAGATGGGAATGAAACACGATGACAATGCCGAATAGCAATAAGGACTATCTTTGTTAAAGAAATTCAAGGAATGCTGTGCAGCCCGGGAAAACATAACTGTATGAAGACATGTAGATTTCACACACAGCAATGAGGTTAAATTGAGACAAAAGGTCATTATGTTTCAGATATGGTGTTATAGCTAAAACTGGAAAGGAACCTTAAAGAATTTTATGTTGTACGATAGTACTGTTAGTGGTGTAATTTCTAAGAAATTGAAAAAGAGGCTACATTGTGATATCAAACTGGCACTGGAGAGCGCAGTTAGTAATTGTAGGGCAAATTCTTCTATTTACCTGAAAGAAGTAGACAGTGAAGAAACTACCTCTACTGCTGCTCAAGAAGTCAAAGGACGTCGTAAGCAATCAGCTAGCAGAAACAGCTAAAAGAAACAGAGTGCAAATGAAAGCTCATGTGAACAGAAAAATAAATTTAAAATTCGGGAAATGTGGGACTTGTCATGAAGTTGGAAAAAATCGAACATATGAAAAAGCTTTCTAAAGTGGGACATCCCCAATCATTTTGATAAAACGTGCAGAATAAAAAAAAAGTTTTGTTAAGAATAATGAAGATCGAACAAATGAAGACTTTATATGCAATGAACAGAAACCCTAGTACGTTAACAAAGATGATCTATAATTACGTCAGATGCTGACTGGTGTTTTCATTCTAATTGTCAGACCATTAATTACACACTGAATTGTTGACGGATTTCCCCGTTATTCCCCGTTAATGTCAAGGAGCACACGGCGGGTGTGACCTCTCGGCAGAGAATGCCCACTCCTCCATGGCACCATGTCTCATTCCTGATTTTTCGTGGTCTTTTTCGTTGTTTGCTCTGCTCCCAGGTCGTGTAGTTTGAATGGACTTTTGAGCTTGAATTCTTTTTGGTATCTCTATATCCTCTGTATAAACCACTTATTGTCTTGCAGATGTCTAAGATTTCGGCGAACTAAACACAAATATCATTGGTAAATATCTCTTAACTCGCAAACCCCAAATGAACAGTCTACACACATTTTGTCATTCCAGATGCGTATCTTTCAATAAGATACTTTAGAATAAAGTGTGTAACATATTATTTTAGAAGGGGTGTAAATCAGATATGGATCCTCAAAATTTAGGAATCACCAAATTTTTCAAAATTCTAACAGATCAAACCTTGAAACTTTAATAATTTTAAACAAATGAGTTAAGCACACTTGATTACTATATATGTAACTGGGTCCAGTTTTGATTGTGATTTAAGAGCGGTTTTATCATCTACAAAGATATGATAAGGTATAATTTAGTAAACATGTTCTATGATATTCTATTCATGCATCTATTTGACATGTGTGTTATAATTAATCCAAAATCAATCATAATCTGAAATATACAAAATTGAATAAGATATCTCAAGCTATGACTACTTTAATTCTTAAATGATATATTTCAGAATACCTTCAACACATTGCTTTCTAGTTTGTATCTTCATTTCAGCTCCAGAAAATAATTATATTAGCTTCTAATTACTGAGTACATATAGTGACGAAGTATTAAGTAAATAAACTATGACTATGACATAATCATGATAATAACAGAAAGAGAAGTCCAAACTTATGTACCTAAACACTTGATCTTGTTAAGAGGTTTCAGACGTAAAGACGTTTTTGAAAGTACTTCCTTATATGAAAAGTACTTGAATAAAAGAACAACGCTTTAAACGAACAAGAACCCTAAAAATATGAGGAATTTCTTCTTAACTCCATTTCAATATCCTTGTCTCAGAAACTTAGCACAATGTGTATGAAACACCCGCAGTGTGCTCCTTGTCATGATCGGGAAATAACGGGAAAAATCGTCGTGAATTCAGTAAGAGAAACGTCAGTCAGCTTTTGACTCAACGCATGTTAAATTATTTTTGTCGACAAGGTTATTCTATCGACCGTAGAACTTATGACTTATGAGAAATGATGACTTTAAACAGCTCAATGAGTTGCATCATGACTATTCTGTGTGTTCATCAACTTGTTGCCAATAATTTATAATGTGCTTATAGAAATTGTTTATACAAATGAATAACTAAAAAAATTATGAGCATGCTCTTGCGTATCTGTAATTAAAAGTCAATTTCACGATTTATAAACTCCGTATGCAGGTAATGAAGTATATATTGCTGCATAATAAGGGAAGTTGACATATAGAAAAGTTAAAGTCATCACATTTACTGTAAAGTCCTAATTATACGCGTGGAATTTATTATCGCGTAATTTCGCGAGAAGCACCACACGCGAAATAGAATAATTCACCTTAATTTTATGGTGCTGAAATCTCTGAACAATCTGTTCATAAACCGTCTATTTGAGGATTATTATTATTGCGATTTGCCGTTGAAGAGCTCATGTGCGAAAAATAAGGAATCTACAGTATCACAAAGCTTCGTTGTTAGAATACCATTAACGTTTTTTTCAAGTAAAATAGTCTTAGTATGAAACACATGTGTTCTACTCTGTCGTATCTTTTATTTCAAGCTCACCAGGATATATCGTATCGCCATAATAATGGAAAAGTGCACGTAGGAAATGACATGGCTTAGCACATTTACAAACTTCCATAAATATTTCAATATTAGGATATCTAGTTAACTTAGCTTCGAACAAAAAAATGTTTTACTAGCACTTGGCAAAACCACATAAAATCTTAAACAAGGGATATATACAAAACCTATAATGTTAGCTCTGAAAAAATACAGAATTGTATTCTTGAATCAACTTAAATCATATAAATTTTGTGTAATGGTTATGTTCTTTTGATATCACATACATGTGTTTAGAGAATATAACATGCTAAAAACCCTTCATATAACATATTAGCTCTTGTCCAATATTAGCGCGGTAATAATGATTTGTTTGGTTTTGTTATAAACGCATCAAAGAAGAAAGGCTGGTTATTAATTTTAGTATAAAGGAGAGATATCTAGTACAAGTGTTCGGCTTATAATGGGTTTTATAATCCGAATGAGAGCATAAGTTTACGAAAAATATATAAACATAATAAAATATAGAAATAATTATCGGAGTTTGTAAATGCGCTACGAGGAAGTTTATATGATTCTCAGTACTCTCCAATAAACATGACATTGGCGAAATACCAACTCTGGGTCTTTACTTGAACACTTCTACTCCTTAAGTGATTTCAGAGAGCTAAGTTTCGATGTATTCGAGTACTTATGTATTAAAAAAACTTTTTATAATAAGAAGTCTTTTTGACATACTTCGAATTTCCAAAAAACATCCTTATATCTATGAACATGAAGCTCGGCCTTAAACAAAGTTTCGTTTTCAGGTACTTGAACATATAATGTCACATGGTTATCGGTTTTTTTGTATAAATTCGATTTGTAATAACACTTCTATTCAGGCATGGAGAAGTTCTGATTAAAGAAGTTTACAAAAGAGATGGAAACTGTTAGACTTATTTGTCTACTTTTCTCTATTTTTGAGACCTTTGGTCAGTTGAATTCAAAAGAAAACGATACCCTGCAAGCAAAAAATGTATTTGCTGGTACCACATCTGGAAAAGTATCAAATGTTTTAAGGGACATCTTGAATCAAGAGAGCTTAGTTCGCTTTTCAATGGTACAAAAAATTCAGAGTTTGGTGTTGGATGCAGCAGATAGCAAACATGATATTGAATATATGAATATATGACGTAAAAGAAACATACTCTTGACGTGAAGGATGAAATGTAGGACGAGAACGAAAGACTGCGACACGAACTGAAGACTCTGAGTGATCATTATAACCATTCGATAGAATCATTACAAACCTTACACGAGAAGGAATTACTGTTCCTCAGAAACCAAACATCTCGTCTTCAGAAAGAAAATGAGGGGATTTCTTTAGATACTACAGAAATAAAAAAACAGCTCGGAGAGTTTAATAAAACATTCAATGATATTGAATTTATGAAAAAGAGACTTACTGACGTAACGGAAGAGCAACATACCCTTGACGTGAAGAATCGTCAAATGGAGGACGAGAACGAAAGACTGCGACACGAACTGAAGACTCTGAGTGATCATTATAACCATTCGATAGAATCATTACAAACCTTACACGAGAAGGAATTACTGTTCCTCAGAAACCAAACATCTAGTCTCCAGAAAAAAAATGACGGGATAACTTTAGATGCCATAGAAATCAAAATACAGCTCGGAAAGTTTAACAAAACATTCGATTATTTAAATATGACAAAGGAAGAAGAGAAAAAAGAGTTTCAGCAGAATATTCAGAGTTTGAAGATGGAGGTGAAAGAAAACAAAAATAGTTATGAAGCACAAAAGATAGGACTGGGTGTTGTAAAAACTCTCTTTACAGAACATATTAAAAACTTTAATGAATCTAGGACTGCTTTCCAACAAGAATTAAAAATTTTGAACAAGCGGATGGAGGCCACAGAGAAGCAAGATAACTTAAGTTCACGTGTACAGTTTGTTGAAAACAGTTTACGAAGATTTTCACTTTCTCTGGATGATCTTCGTGCAGCTCAAAATGTATCTAACACACAACTGATGAGAATTTTAACACATCTCTTACATGTAACTGGTAAGTGCTTCATATATAATACAAAGACACACTGTATAAATGTAGGAATTAATATTCGTAGTGTCTATTTTCTTATTGACACATCCGAAAATAAAGAAGGGGTCGGGTTCCAGACTCCTTTTGGAAATTGAAGTCATTAAATTCAGTTATTGAATTTTTTATGTAACATAACGAAAAGACCTTGAACTCCCTTCCCATTCGGAAACACGAAACCTTAATAATTTGGCAAGGATAATTGGCTTAGTAAGTTTAGGAAAATTCCTAATCTCCCTTCCCCTTCCCACAACCATAAGAAAGGTTGATTCTACAAGTCCTTTATATACAAAGGAATTCCATTGCACCAAATTTATCAGCAAACTATCATTGTACCAGTGTTACTCTTTCAACGTATAAGTTTATTGTCACAAGGATGTTGTTAACCCATAATCTTAGAACTACTTGTGGTATTTAATGAAACGTCATATAATGTTCCTGACTAATCCCCCCCGGGCCAGAAAATTGTATATGAAGCACAGTTTATTTTTTTTCAAGAGGTTTACAACGATTTCTTTTGAAAATCTAACATCTTTATGAAATATGTACTTTATTTTGGGATATCAAATTCAAACGATGACATAAGAAATATGCGAAAAAAGAAAACTTGATTCTATTCGCGTTCAGAGTGCGGATTCAAACATAAGACGTAAACAAAGATAGTGACTGTTCCTTGGCCAAGTGCCGGGTACTTGAATTTAAAATCACAGGTCTTCGGATGTGATCTTTCAGACCAAAGTCTCCCGGCCGTGTAGGCGTTGCCACGATAAAAATCTCTCACTGCTCAATGTCGTAAGTGCCGAGTATTGGTCTAATTTTGGAGCCCTTCGCCGGTATATGTTGACAAAAACAACATACATTTAATCAAACAATCAATCAATCAATTCAACAATATCATTTAATTACAGGTTCATCGAAAGACTGCAAAAAATTATATGAAAGTGGTACCAGAACATCTGCTGTATATGATATCTATCCCTGGGACAGCTATGATTCCAAGAAGAATCTTGTAGGTGTACAAGTCCAGTGTGATATGTCGACGGCCGGAGGGGGTTGGACTGTAAGTACTGTTAATCTTGTCTAATCCGAACACTAATGGTTCTATTGAAAATTATTCCTTGAACTTATTTTACGAAAAGGTGCAAAGATTTACTTATAGCAAGATTTTGAAATACACAATATATTCTGAATTATACAAGTTTTAGTTCAAAAGAAGAGATTTCATGGATTGTCTTAGTGGTACAAATTGCGGGAATGTTTTTTGTATTCACACATCTTGAAAAGAAAATGTATATATTATTTTGATTAAGTTCTAAACTTCCCGCCAAAAATATAATATTTTGAGTATGCAAAAAGTAATAATTATTATTTCTAACTCTTAAGATTTATGATTGCTCGATAAAATACCTGCGTTTTTAAAACGAATTAATGATTGACTTTTCAAAATATAATAAACAGGTGATACAGAGTAGAGTTGATGGCAAGGTAAATTTCAGCAGAAGTTGGGAAGACTATAAAGTTGGATTTGGAGATCCATCAACGAGCTACTGGATAGGTTATATACTTTCTAACCTAATCTTACTCAGTACATAAATATGTAAATAAATACAGCTTCCTCAACACATTCCCAACATATTTAGATTTCCTTTTTGTTTTTAGATTAATTCAATAGCTTTAATATTTTCGAAGAAAATAAAGCCTAAAATTCTTTTATCTTTAAATAAATTAAATTTCGTGTAAGGGAATGACATCATACATGAGATGACAAAGGATAACAGGAGTTCATTGTATGTGAGCATTACAGCCAAGAACGGCACCACATTCAGTATACAGTATGACACGTTCTCTATTTCTGGAGAAGAAGACGATTACAGGTTGTACATTGCTGGAAATGCAACAGGAAGATTAGGTTTGTAGAGGCATGCTTTTATTTATAAATTACAATGAAATCAATGTTATTATAAAGATAATCTACATTTTTTATAACATATCTTAAACATAATACTGTATATAGATTCTCATGTTTCCCAATTGATCAGAAAAGTAAATGATAATATCCTTTCCATTAAGAGTAGAACTATTAGAAAAAAATCAATTAATTCAGTTACAAAGTTTTATTTCTAAATACATAAAATGAGCAAAAATGTCAACAAAAAAAAAAAAAAAAAAAAAAAAAAAAAAAAAAAAAAAAAATGCACACTTTACAAATGAATGTTTTGAAAGCGGTTTTAATAAACATGGTACAAGACGCAATTTTCATACATAAAGTCTGTAGTAATACTGAATTGTTTGAAAAATAAATGTCATCAAGTTAACTTATTTTGTACGAATTTTATAGACGATAGGATACGACACGGTACAGGAGGAAACAACATAAACGGGATGAAATTTTCTACGTATGACAAAGACAATGACAATGCTGGATCATGCGTTAACACCATGGGTATAGGAGGATGGTGGTTTAACAGTTGTAGCGATGCCTACCTTAACGGACCGTATGCACCTGGAGAGTGGAGTCAACCTTGGCAAGGTACATTTTATGATGGATCACAGATTTCCAGTACAAGGATGATGATTAGGAGAAAATGATTTAGAGACAAATCGAATTAAAAGATTGCAGAATTATTGAAAAAAATATGTTATGTCTTATTTTATAGAATTATGTAAAACAGCTTAACAATGTATTAATATTACTTATTTCAAATGTGCAGTGTACTAAATTCAATAAAATTAGTATTTTCTTGGCTTTTGTACATTTAAGTGATGTTGTTGTGATAGTGATAGTCTAATGTTTGAAATATAATTTTGAATATTATACGAACTGCAAAGATCTAGCAAACTTGTACGAATCCTCTGTTTTGGAGGTCCCTGTTTGTTCTGCCCTAATTTTGTATTGTGTAATGGGCTTTTGAGCTTGAATAATGTTCGTTATCTCCATATGTTACATTCTAATAAACTGTGCTCTACTTTTATTTATCGACCTTCGATTTTTTTTTACTAGTTTAAGAGTTTCCCTATCTTCGCCTTTCACCTAATTTTAAGATTTTGATAAATATTATGTCCCTTTTGTTTAAAAACACTAAAGTATTCAATATTTTTATACGAAAACAAACAAATGCTGTGGAAATGGAATATGATTTAGTAGGAAAGAGATTTTGATGTTTTATTTGAGGTTCCCCCTGAAGAATATTATAATGTCATTGTCAAAAAAGTTATTTTGATGATAAATAATGCTTCATTTAGAAGATAGAAAGATTGATCTAGAGTTTATTTGATTTTACTGAACGTTTTATCATCTGACAATCTTTCAATCTTTTTTCAAAGGCCCTTAACCGGCATACGGTGACGTCTCCGTATGAGTGAAAAATTCTCGAGTGGGACGTTAAACAATATACAATCAATCAATCAATCTTTTTCAAAGTCGACAGTCAAGCATATGTAGTTGAAAATGGGTTTACAAAGGCATAAAAAATGAATTTTGAACATGAGGGGTCAAGTCTGCATTTCGTGTTAACTCTTAAATGATAGAAACGTATTGTATATTGTATATTGCTTTAACTTCCCTCTCGAGAATTTTTCACTCAGATATATACGCCACCACTTGCCGGTGGAGGGCTACAAATTTTGTCTTATACTCGGCACTCAGGGCCTTTGAGCAATAAGTGATCTTTTTCGTGCCAACACTTACTGCGACACGGGGCCTCGGTTTATACGGTCTCATCCGAAGGAACAGTCTCCACGTCCCACAGTGGGATTCGAACCCGCGACGTAAGGATCGACTCCTTACTTCCCGACTCTATAGCAGACGCTCTAACCACTGCGTCACGCGGGCCACTGCGCCAGTGATAGAAACGTAAATGTGAAATATACTGTAAAATCACAAATTTTTGAGGGGTCAATTTTTCGTGGTTTGCAGGAAAATATGTTGGTTCATGGGGATTAGATTTAGTGGTGAAGAATGGTTACGTAGTTTATGTGCGAAAAATTGCATTTCGTGGTGGTCATAAACACTAGGGTCTCTTCATACCTCGAAAATCATGAATATTAAACCCAGCGAGAATTAGTGGGTTTATTTGTCCATTAAATGGAATCTGAACCCATTCTACATGAAAATCGAACAATTTTGAAAAAAAATGTCCTCTTCAAGAAACCCGTTCATTTAATTCACATTGACAGACATCGATAACGCATATACTTCGTAGCGTAGTGGTTAAGCGGTTGGTCTTGTGCCCAACACTGTGGTATGCAGAGAGTTCGAATCATACGTGAAGCTTTCTCTTTTTGATTTTACATATCTTAAAAACACGATTGAAAAAATAAATTATTTATAAAAATATGACAACAATGAAATACAGAATTAAATGCGCAAAAGGTTATATGGATCTTATTATTTTGAAAAATATAGGTTTCATGAACTTTAAGAATTGATAAATGTCTTTCTCAGAGCGGGGTATTGACATCGCCTTGTAGGCCTTCATTCTTTACAAGTTCCATTTTTATTGAAAAGCAGCTGTGAATGATATCAAAAAGCCTTGACTTTAATTTATTGAGATGGGATCACGTACCTTTAAGGAGTATAATAATCTTTTAACCGGTCAGATCCGCCATGGAGACCTATGTAATCATCAGGTATTCAGAACTTTCATTGGTATAATTCAGTATGAAAACAGAGGTTTAACAATTGATATGAAATAATTCAATCAGAATACGACCTTGCTATAAAGGTCATTATTACGACTTAAGAATTTACAAAAATGCCTCTTCTAATGAGGTCGTTGAAATACTTGTAAAATCTTTATATATCCTTTTATGGGTGAGTGGCATGTTCAAAGCAAGACATAAGTAGCAAATAAGTTGAGAGGTATAAACACAATAACCAGATGAGTAGCACGCTTTGCTTTAACAATTGATTGAACATTAAATAAAATTCTTATAATTGTTGTATCTTATTTTATACTTATTGGTGGTCCATTATTTATACACTGAATTGACGACGGATTTTCCCGTTATTTCCTGATCATGACAAGGAGCACACGGCGGGTGTGACCGGTAAGCAGGGGATCATCACTCCTCCATGGCACCTGATCCTACCTCTGATGTTTCGGAGGTCTGTGTTTGCTCTGTTCCAATTTTGTATTGTTTTATGGACTTTGATATTGAATACTGTTCGTTATCTCCATATCCTTCTTGTACAAAATATACCCTGGTATCTAACCTTGAATCGTGCTCCTCGTTTGTTCTTGTTATGAATCTGAAAAGAAGCCAATTTTCTCCGTAGAATTATTTGAACAGTTAATAAATATATTTACATTTGTCAAAGTCTTTTCATGCAGTACAATACGAATAAAATTGACATTCAATTTTTATTGACATGCAGTTAGTCTTATGATCAGATTTTCTTGTGCATGGAAAGCAAACTGCAGGAGCTATTTGGAAAATTCCTGTTGTGTCGTAATATGACGTCACAGATACGATATGTTGCATTTCAATAACAAAGTCTAAATTAAGCCAAAAATTAAATACCATTTTTAAAAGTATCCTAGGGATTTGACCTGAAGTCGATACGTGATCAAATGTACTAAAACGCCCTTTGGGCGCAATAGATTTTGATTATGTGATCGACTTCATGTCATATCCCAATGAAACTCTAACAGGAGGCTCATGGGTCACATCACTCACCTGAGTATCGTTGACCATGCTGTTCATTACAAGATTTCCCCCCTTGTAATACCTATAATAGACCTCCTTATAATTATTCTACATAACGCGTTATCTGATTGGTTTTAGATTATAACGTGATCGGGCCACAAAACGTCATATTTCACGGTCAATGTATTTTCCAGCAATATAGTTATCGTTCTTGGAAAGAAAACTCCAGAGTAGTGAACGTCACAATAGCTTGGTTTACCTTACCAAATTGCTGATGCGTCAAAGGGTTTCAGTAACTTTAAGTTAAAAATGTAAGTGAATTTAAGAGCGGAGCCGATTTTGAAAGTCAATGTTTATCATAAGTTTTTTGAGTGTTTCTTTATAATAAACAATTCATCGCAGATATGTTCGGTAAAGATGAAGATTTAATCGGAAAAGAATAATATATTCCCCTCGGGAGAAGCCCACGGTAAATGTGATTTATCTTGGCTTAATAAATCTTCATGTCTCCATCACTATAATTCAAAAATACATATTGTGACCCCATATTACCCCACGTGTCATAATTTGTACAATTTAAATCTACAATACAACTGGATACTTTTATTTAAGTTTAAACTTTTCAAGCCCTGTAGCTCTTGAGAGAAAGATTTAAAAAAAAATTTCCCTGCATATTTTAATGCCTAGTGGTAGAGCGTTCGCTACGTGATCGACGCCCGGGTTCAATTCTTGTTCGCGGTGCCGCGTCAAACCTTAGACGTAAACATAGGTAGTGACTGTTCCTTCGCCTAGCGATCAGCATTAGAATGTGCTTGTATTGTAACTAAGTTTAGCTTTTAGTTTAATTAAACAACATTTTTTTGTAAGCTACTTTAAAAAGACATATTTATCTCAAAGGAGTAAATTTGCATTTCAAACATCTGCATGTGTCGATTTTAATTTGTGTTTATTTGGAATTTCATAAAAACAAAACTAATCCTACATGGACGCTAAACAAAGGAAGAAATTGAAATAGCCTCAAAACACGTAAATTTCTTATAACTGAAGTTAAATTATTTATGGTAAATTGGTATAAATACTTTCCATTTACACGTGTTCGTAGGCGTAATGGACTTTTACGAGGAGCGCTGACTTTTACAGTTGACGCTTACTTTTACACTAGGGCTATGTACGGTAGCTCCTTTACGATATGAATATTTAGCTCAACATTTAATTAAACGGAAATATCGGTTATTTCAATGCACATATAAATTGTCCTTGAAGAAAACGACAACGACCCTACCCTCAGCTCCCGGTCTTCACATGTTAGTGCCCCTGACACCATACCCATGATCACAAGAAAGGTTTTCTAATGCATTATCAATTCTGTACTTCCATACATGATACAAGTTTAAATGTCCAAGTAAGGCCGGAATTAAAAATATCTTTGTTTCCCCTAACCCGACCCTAAATTCTCAAGTTGGGTCGGTAGGTAGGTAAACAAATTTATTTTCTGTTAGCAGCTTTGAAAATACATTTTAAAATTTAATGGAAAATTACAGTTATAAATAACAAAGTACGAAAAAAAATGATTTGTGAACAAAATGCTAAGTACTGGTATTATACATATGCCGTTTAAAAGCAAAATTCATGATTAATTAATTCACAACTGTAATTTAGTTGAACTTGTGAAATATCTCACGCCAGAGTACATTTATATAAATCGAATAAAAGAGACAATATTCTCAAATAAGCAAAGACTGGACATTCGAGTATATTTTTTCAAACCATTAATCCGCCTCCAGTGCTTATAGACAATCAATGTACTTTTTTGAGGGCCGTGAGATTTGCAGTGATTCTGGAGCATTTTGCTTTGGAGTTAAGACGTATGTGGCTAATTTTAAGTCGCATGTTAAAATACCAGTGAGGAATGTTGAAAACGGTTTTTCAAAATTAAGGGATCATAAGTGTCCAAGTGTCGCAGAAGATGCTGGCTCAAAAAAGACCCCCCACTGCTTAATGGCAAAAAAGTGCGTAGTACGTCTACATTTGGAGCAATGGGGAAATGTTCAAATGTCGTCCCAACAAATCTCGAAGGGGTTATAAGCAAAGAAACAACCAATCTTCAATGACCTAATTAAAGAAAAATACACCGGACGTCTAAGGAAGCTGAATTGAAATGATTTCAAAACTATTTGGAAAGAGTATGTAAACAATATTTAAATGAACCAAACCGAATCATGCTATAAACAATGTCATAGTCACAAAGTTTATCCCGTAAATAAAGGCATGAAAAAGGACAACTGAATTATATCAGGATGAATATGGAAACATATATTTACATTAACTCCTATGATTCCATAATGGCATATAGTAAGCATAGGAACATACCATAATGGCATATAGTAAGCATAGGAACATAGATGAATTGGTAATTAGATCAAAACTCAAATTAAATAAAATGCAGTGAAATTAAATGATGTTTTCACTAGGTGGGCCCCTCATCTGCTCATGAGGCTGGCCTTTCCATGTTTTACGGACCTTAAATTCAACAGACAGATTTGTTTGTTCGTTGTTTACCGTCCCTTTCGAAAATTTAATTACTCACATGGAGACGCCAAGACACCTCCGAAACACTCTAAATTAGTTATTGTAAATTTTATTTTCAAATTGTTTCAAGAGTGAAGAATTCTATTTAGCTAAAGGCATAAGATTGAGACGTCGTCGTTGTTTTATGAAGAACTAATTCTCGCCATTTTATTTCCAACAAATGCTTGAAAATCACGGTAGAACAATGTTTGCCGTTTTGTTAAAAACTGATTTTGATGAAATTGTATTCTATAAAACTTGGTTACTAATATAAAAAAAATTTAAATCATCTTATTTGAAAAATCTTTTCAGTCGGCGCGATTTCATTGGGTCGGTCGCGTTAGGGGAAACAAAGGTATTTTTTATTTTGGCCTAAACGTAAACTGTAGAAGTCAGTGCTTCTCGTAAAAGTCCAATACTAGGAGAGAGGGTTGTTTAAGTATACACTTTTGACTTATACCCCTTAATTGACTTCAAAGAGTTATGAATCTTTAAGAAAAAGTATTAGTAATATCAAAAACCCTTGTATTATAAGACGTCTTTTTGACATTTAAAACTTCCAAAGAAACATCCTTCGGTCGTAGGCATTTTTTAGTTTTCAACTATGATGTCACATGATGCCAAGTGTGTATCTGTTAAATTTTGTATAATTACATATGTGAAATAGCAATATCATTCGGACTAAGTAAAGCTCTGCTTATAGAAGATAACTAGAGATGGGAACTTTTAGAATATTTATTTAATTTTCTCTATTTTTGAAATATCTGGTCAGCTGAATTCAAAAGAAAGCGATTCCTTGCTATCTAAAAATGTATATGCTGGTACCACATCTAAAAAGTATCAAGTGTTTTAAGGAACATCTTGAATCAAGAAAGCTTAGTTCGATTTTTAATGGTACAAAAAATTCAGAGTTTGGTGTTGGATACAGCAGATAGCAAAACTGATAATGAATATATGAAAAAGAAACTCAATGATATAACGGAAGAGCTACAAACCCTTCGCGTGAAGAATCGTCGAATGAAGGACGAGAACGAAAGACCGCACTAGGAAATGAAGACACAGAGTTATCAAAATAATCATACAATAGAATCATTAAAACCCGAATTACTTTTGCTCAAAAACCAAACTTTTCGTCCCCAGAAATTAAAAAAACAGCTCGAAGAGTTTAACAAAACTTTTGACTATTTAAAGATAACAATGGAAGAAGTGATAAAAGAGTTTAATCAGATTATCCAGGGTTTGATTGTTGTATACTGTTAAACGTTCCTTTCAAGAATATTTCACTGATATGAAGACGTCACCATTGTGAAGGGCTGCAAATTTGGGCCTATGCTCGGCACTCAGGGCCATTGAGCAGGGAGGGATCTTTATCGTGCCACACCTGCTGTGACACGGGGCCTTGGTTTATACGGTCTCTTCCGAAGGACCGCCCATTCAAGGGTTAACTGAGGATCTAAGGGGGGTACTGAGGACTTATTCTAACCAGGATCCCCACAGGAATCCAGGGTTTGAAGATAGACGTCAAAGAAAACAAAAACAGTAATGAAGCACATGTAGAAACTCTCTTTACAGAACATATTCAAAACTTTAATGAATCTAGGATTGCTTTCCAACAACAATTAAAATTTAAGAACAAACGGATGGAGAACACGAAGAAGGATGACAGGTGTACACGTGTACAGGTTGTTGAAGAGACAGTTTACGAAGATTTTCAATTTCTGTGGATGATCTTCATGCAGCTCAAACGTATCCAACACACAACTGTTGAGAAGTTCGACTAAAACTGGTATGTGTTCCGATGTAATACTAAGACACAGTTTATAATTGAGGGTAATATAATTCTTTTTGGTAATTTTTGTATTGATCATTTTGTCATACGAAGAGTAGATTAGGTTCTGGACTCCTTTGAAAATTCAAATTATTAAAGTCAGTTTTTAAATTTCTATAAGAAAGTTTCCAAGTCCCATTAAAATACTAATAGGTCTGGACGACTTCTCCATACCCCAAAAACTGAGAATAATTTCATTTATATTTAGAAACGAAGGAAATTTAGTACATAAGTATTGTCGTTGATTTAGATATTTTGTCTATCATCATTGTAACTATTGTAGTCTTGTTATAACAATTTTGATAGTGTCTTAAATAAATATGAAATATTGTAATTTTTGAAAGGATATCACATTCAGACTAATGTCAAAGAATGGCATTATCAACTGTGATGAAAATATCCGAATTTCTCATTAACTCAAATATCTCTTGTATAATTATAGAATTATCGAGAGACTGCAAGGACTTACAGTACCGACCGGACACAACCTAACAGAAGGCGAACCCGTAGCGGACCCCGAGCGAACCCGAAGCGGACCCAGATCGAGAGCGAACCCCAAATTCAGTAGCGGTCCCAGAGAGCGAACGCGGGTTCGGTATTTCTTTACAGAGCTGTCAATCAGGATTAGCGATTAACCAATCAGCGCATCAACCAATCAAAATATTATATTGATCTGTCGATTAGGATATAAGATCGAACGTGTTGATTTAATTCGATATAAATCCAAACACTGTACATAAAGCTAAACGTATGAATGTGCTGTGTAAATCTATTATGATAACTAAAATATTATTCAATATTGTGTTTCCTAAATTTTACAGACGATAGGATACGATATGGTACAGGGGTAAACAACATAAACGGGATGAAATTTTCTACCTATGACAAAGACAATGACCCCGCATCAGATCCTTGTCCAGGATGGGCGGGAATTGGAGGATGGTGGTTTAACTCGTGTCACGACGCCTACCTTAACGGACAGTATCCATCTGGAGAATGGGAACAACCTTGGCAAGGTACATTTATTGATGGATCAGAGATTTCCACTACAAGGATGATGATTAAAAGAAAATGACAATCTAGGCTCTAGAGCAGACGCTCTAACCACTGCACCAGGCGGGCGACGTAGTGGTGTTTCCAAATAAGTGGCCTTAAACAACACTCAAACAAAACAAAGATAATGTGAGAATTTGTCATTTTATTAAATATAACTTTATTCCGAATTCATTTGTTCTATTAAACTGTATTCTATTTGTATTTAACGACATTTGGTTTTTCAACCATTTTAGGACAGATTAACAAAATGGCTGCATATGTTGGTGTGCGTTGTGCTTCACATATCCACTGTCATTCTTGCTCATCAGTCACGTGTAACATTATGATGATCACAATTCGCTTTCTTCGCATTACGTCTCAATTTCAGTTTTTCATTATTATGACTTCTTCGCTTAAAACATCATTATATATATTCAGTAAAGTTATGAAAACGAAAAAATGGAATACGAGTTTCGAAATAGATTACGAGGTTTTAGGAGAGGGAAGTAACATTTGTAATGTTTTATATATGAGGTTTTCCTTGAAAAATTATATCATTGTAAAAAAAAATATTTTAATGATTATTACCATTTCATTTGTAATTATTAGACAGACAGCTTGATCTAGTGAGATGGTAAGGGACTTTTTTTAAATTTTGGGTTTCTTTTGAATAAAAGTAAATCGTTCTAAACACATTTTATTAGATTTTCCATATATAGCTTTCGAAAATTCATTGATACGTTGCTTAGTATTCAATATCAAAGATAAATATATACTTTTGTAATATTTACGTGATTTTGCTTACAACATATTCCTTTTTGTTTGTGTTGATTCACCAGACACAAACATATACCTCAAGTGTAGCAGATAAAATTTCTTTTGAAGATCAACATTCTTACTATCTGCGCAATTACTCTTCTGTTTTCTGTCAATGCAATGACGACTGGTTACAACATGTGTGATGGAAATTGCTCTCTTGAAAAAAGTGAGTGTTCAATGGAGTGTCATGAGAAAAAGGACTCCGATAGAGAAGATTTTCAAAAATGTTCAAGTGAATGTGAAGATGAATATTTTGAATGTGCTATAAAATGTAACTGTACATCTTTCTGTTCTAAAGAAAATGACGCATGCGTATCTGGATGTTACATTCAGTCTTTCCAATTTGAATCGGATAAAGAGGAATGCCTAAAAGAATGTGAGTTCGACCATGGAGATTGTGAAGATATTTGTAGTTAATGAACGAAAATATTATTATTAAGATAATGTAATGCGATTTAAAAAAAATACAAGTAATTTGTATGTCAAATGTGTTTCATTTTTGAATGCTTTACTGATTATACGCGAGAAAGACTAAGTAACAGCCAACAGATTACTTAAGCTTTTCCATCGTCAGCGTTCGTTATTTATGCACATGCAGCAATATTCCATTATCATCTACTTATGGTAATGTTATCTCCCAATTTACTGTCTAACGAAGAACATGTTCTGAGTACTTGTTAAACTCACATTTATTGAAAATAAAAACAGTTGCAGGCTACTCACTGAATGATGACGAAATAGGAATTTCAATAACTTCCTTTTTATTAGCATTTCGTGAATTCTATTTTATGAAATTTACTATTTTCTTATATGTGTATTTTTTTCTTCAATCAATTTGAAAACGAGTGCTGCAAAGTATAAAAGATTCTGGTATGGTGTGTCAAAAGTAAAGAAATCATCTATCTGATGAGAAATATGTGAGTAAGGAGCTGTAGATGTAAAGTTTATTTAAACACAGACCTCTCAAACACAAGAGGAGGTATCAGATACTTTATCATTCAAAACTGAAAACAAGCTACAATCAAATCAATTAAAACTAACATGTTTTCTTCCCGTCAAATAATATTTGTTTAAATACCCAGTAAATGAAAAGACATAAAGAAAATATTCAAATATTCTATTTGATGTCAAAACGCTGTAAAAAGGGTTTTAAATATCGCTAACTGTCCATATTTGAAAATCTTTTACAAAACTGTAGTATATCAACGTGTAAGAAGAAGAATTATTCTGCCATAATTTTATTCATCTGATGATAAATTAAAGGTCAAACTTTGTAATTCCTCGTTATTTTTTGTAATAATTGAATTGCAGAAAGGTAAAAATGATTTTCAAAATTAACATATATTTTAAATAGTGCAGCAAGAGTGTGGCAATTCGTTTTCTATGTAAATACCTTATAATCAAATTAACAACGGACAGTGACACCTTCTTTATTTTTTATTGTCTGAATGGTCTTTTGATAAAATATATGTCGAACAATCTAAATGATTTCTACTTATCAGTTATTTATCATTCTTTTCATCATGGGAAAATAAGTGATCTATAAGATATATTCCGGTGAGCTTGAGATAAAAGATACCACAAAGTCTTACACATCTGTTTCACACTTGGATATGTTACTTGAAAAAGACGTTAATGGTGATTTAACAACCAAGCTATATGATAAACGTGATGACTTTAACTTTTCTATCGTCAACTTCCCTTACTTATGCAGCAATATACCTTAATCACCTGCATACGGAGTATATATATCTCAGTTGATTCAATACGCAAGAACATGCTCTACGTATGAACAATATCTAAAACGAGGTAAATTATGACAAACAAGTTGATGAAACAAGAATATCAGCAGTCTCATTCAAAGTCATCATTTCGTAAGTTCTATGGTCGATATAATGACCTTGTCAGCAAATACAATTTATCATTGAGTCAAATGCTGACTGACGTTTTTCATACTATAGTCCATTATTTATACACTGAATTGACGACGGATTTTTCCGTTATTTCCTGATCATGACAAGGAGCACACGGCGGGTGTGACCGGTCAGCAGGGGATGCTGACTCCTCCATGGCACCTGATTCCACCTCTGATGTTTCGGAGGTCCGTGTTTGCTCTTGCCTATTTTGTATTGTTTTATGGACTTTGAGATTGAATACTGTTCGTTATCTCCATATCCTTCTTCATAGATACAACGAACAACAGTCTGGCTCAGAAGTTCACTAAATAATAAAAATCAGGATCAGAGCAAACACTGACCTGACTTGTAAAACATCAGAGGTGGGATTAGATGTCATGGAGGAATAAGCATCCCCTGCCGACAGTTCTCAATCGCCGTGTGCTTCTTGTCGAAGAAAGTTATTAATTTTATCATTATGTATTCTCATCCGACTCTTAGGTATACTGGATTATAAATAAATAAATAACATATCTTAAATTGATGTATTTCTTACTGCATCACTGATTTAGAGTCTAATAAGAAAAAAAAAACTAATTCTAACGGTCGACATTATTGAAAAATTTGCTTAATTTAATTCATTGGTAAATAAATGTTCTTGGATTTTCAAATATTTGATCAAAGTTGAAAGGCTAATACATTATTAATTAAAGTTTGATAAACCATACATGTTACAAAGAAATCAGTGTATTGCATATACGAGCTCAAGCTTTTAACAATGTAATGACGTTTTATAACGTTATAACAAAACATTTTTTTTTTTTTTTTTTTTATAGCAAATTGTTAAACACGTGGTTCATTTATACAGGAAATATATCTTCTTATAATCTTTATTTTCAATTTGTCAAAATTTGATTCTGAAGATATAACACCTGAATTAGGCCATTTGCATTAATAAATTGATATTCGTTGTTGTGCATTTTATGGATTTCTTATAAGAAATTAGAATTCACCAATAAACTGTTCGCATAAGTAACAAATATACAGCATACACGTAACATACATTTTGATAATACATGTAGGCACAAACGTCGAGTTTAATAACTGCATCATAACACATTAACTGCAATCTTAACTTCAACTTGTGTTTTGTTACATTTTAAACACAAATACTAATCAAACAAACCGATTTTAACCAGTACTATAACATATTTGTAAATTGTGAAAACATCAAAAAATCAATTTAAAATACAAATATATTTAGAGGGCATAAAATAAGGATCCACGGAAAATCGAAGACGGAATCAGGTGCCAAGGAGAAGTTAAATTGTCTGTTGACCGGTCACACCCTCCATGGACTCATGTATTATTCAGGTAGAAGGAACTTTCCGTACCAGAAATCAGTATAAAAATTGAGGACTAACAATTAAGATAAAACAAACCAAAATACGACGCAACTTTTGGTTTTATTTACAATCAAGGTTATAATAATGACAAAAAACCTTAATGATATTAATACACTTACATGGTAGTATTTTCATTAATCGATACCCATTTATTGTAATTATATCAAAAGAAAACATATCTTTTAGCTTTCATAAATTAAAGTAAAAATACCCAACTTACAGTTAGCTAAGGTTTAGATCCATAAGTTATTATTTTTTTCTTCTTTTTTGTTATGTTTGTTGTATTCGTCATTCAACGTTCATCTTTAAAGTTTTTTTTCATCTTTAAAGTTTATAACTAACCCGTAAACGTGCTCATAGAGAAATATCTTTGTTCACGAAATAAACACTGAAAGTGGTCGTTTTATACCTCCAGGACTTTAGACATCTTCAACAACTGCTTTTTCAATTAAAGTAGAACTCTTAAATAAAACATATGGAGATAACGAACAGTATTTAAGCTCAAAATTGCATTAAACAATACAAAATAGGAGCAGAGCAAACACGGACATAAGGATTTACCTTATATTAGTTAGATGATTCTTTTTTTATTTGAAGAAGTTCGATTACCTTTGAAATTTGGTTGTCCACTGCACTGTACGAGCTTTTTAAACGTAATTTAAGCACGGTTGCACACAGAAAACATAAGAAATACTCTGATTGGTTAGAGTACTTTAAAATGTTAAAGGAAAACACGCGCATGGTTAAAAAAAGATGCATAGTGAACCAACATCGTCTACATTGAACTCACGGTAGTTGTGACCGTTGAACAAGGAACGGTTATACTCCTGTAAAGCATTAAATACCATCGACTGGTTTTTCTTTGGGAATTCTTTCTCTTCTATTTACGCTTTGGTCCTTAATATTAGGAGTCGAGTTCAGACGTTGATCATCTTGGAACGTTATCTGTTCTATTGAACAACATGGATCCCATAATTTTCTTTTTAAAACATTATTTGCACTCGTCACAAGGAAATAATGATGAAAGTGTAATAATGGGTTCTTGGCAAAAAAATGCACATTACATCCACAAGTTTTTGTTTCTGAATCGACATTTCATTTGCATCGCCTACTGCTTAATAAATGCTGGTATATAATGATAATATGACTGTCAAATACCTCATCACTCCTGGTAGCATTGAGGTAGGTCACAAGCTCTAGATCTGATATTAAAAAGAAGTTTTAAGCTAGTACCAACAGTATAGATGTAAATATAATTTCAAAATCTGTCTCCAAATGGGCCAGAAGATTTAAGAAATACATGTAGTCACAAATTATAGAGAATTGTAACTTTTTTACTTTACAATTATAAAACTTTCCGAGAGTCTTCTTAATTCAAACTTAATAAACACAGAGTGAAATACATCCATATAGAGA